ATGCATCCCCTAAAATTCTTCTTTTCTCCCAGTATGAAGACCTTTCTAGAAAGTCATTCTAAATTAATGAAAAGACCCAGGCTTAGGTCCTGATATTATTTGTGCATCCAAACAGTTCAATGTGCCCAGTGGTCTAAGAACAGAAGGACCACAGAGAAATTGTGAATGCCTTTCCCCGACCACATCTCTAATGAAGCACTGAGAGTAGAAATTAGAATTTTTAAAAATAACACAAAGAATGTGTTCACCATCAGTTTAAAAGACATTCCATTACAAAAACACGTTTTCTTTTTCTGTTGATTGTACTACTTCACTAAACCTTTAATGAAATCAATAGTGAGTCGTTTATTTTCTTTTTGAAAAAAAAATATACATATATACACATCTTGCATTGTGTCTTTCTTAGAATTCAGAAGAGAAAACCTGAGGCTTTTCAACCCCACAGCATTCGTTCATAAAATGCGTGATTGAAGAAACAAATTTTATGGCAACTCTTTCCAACCGTCAGCCCAGGAAACACATTTTCCTGCTTAATTCTGACCTCATCTCTATCTGGAAAAGTTGAACTTCAGACTGAAGTTGTAACTGGTGTCTGTCTGGACTTAACATCCCCAATTAGAGGAAAGAGTGTCTTCCATGGTGCTGTCCAACAAAGCTAAATGGATCTTGCTTCATCTTTCAGAGTCTCTGCTGCAGGTACACCCCCAAATGGGGTTACAATTACACAAGAAATTAAATTGTCATTTGCCCTTCTGTTGCTGGGTTTTGCAGACCTCACATTTTACACAGTCACCGTCAGAATCTGTGCTTAACAACTGGTCTAAAATATGCAGCTTCTTACAAATCTAATCACCCACCCATTAACATCTATTTGAGTTTACTCTTACGTCATAAGAAGCTCAAAGCTGTAATCTTTCTCTTCTTAGACCTGTTTCTTTCTTTCTTTTTTTTTTTTGAGACAAAGTCTTTGCTCTGTCACCCAGGCTAGAGTGCAGTAGTGCGATCTCAGCTCACTGCAACTTCCAACTCCCGGGTTCAAATGATTCTCCTGCCTCAACCTCTCAAGTAGGTAAAATTATAGGTGCCTGCCACTGTGCCCAGGTGTTTTTTGTATTTTTAGTAGAAATGGGGTTTCACCATCTTGGCCAGGCTGGTCTCAAACTCCTGACCTAGTGATCCACCCGCCTCAGCCTCCCAAAGTGCTGGGAATACAGGCGTGGGCCACCGCACCTGGCCGTGATCTGTTTCATTTTGACATTCGTCCCTCCACTGGGTAAAAATGACAGTCAACTATGTAAGCCCCAAACCACTGTTGCATGATATTTTTTAATCAGTGGCAAAACACTTTTTTTTAATTCATGTTTTTTCCATTCCCTCACCTCATGAGTGAAGTGCATGTAGCCTCTCCTTGGCAATCTCTGTCAAGAAAAATGCCATTTACTGCTTTCTTCTTCCTTTAGAGATCATAGTACATTTCAATGTACACATTAAATTTGACATTGATTCTGTTTGTGTGCTAAGAACAGGCATGTGTGTCTAAAGATGTGCCCTTAAATGTCCTTGGTGTTTTTCAAACCATGCCTTTGATGGGCATCATCTTTCCCTGCGGCCAATGTCTACACGAAAGAAAGAGACACGGCGCTGGCACTGAGTTGAGCTTTCCCATCCACGCCAAAGAAAGAAAAGAGCCCAGCCGTGACTGTGAAACTCGGGGTTACCAAGAGGCTTTTCCCAAAGGGGTCTCAAATCCAATTAACAGCTATCACTTGATTGTGTGACCCAGAATGTCTCCGGCCCACACCCTAAACAGGACAAGGGTGTCACGTTTTTAAATCAACACTCCAGATGTCTCTCCTTACACCTTCCAACCTTGCCCCTGGCTCTCCTAAATAAGTTATTTTGAAAAGCAACTTAAAGACGGACACCTAAAGGAGAACATGGGACTGATGGTTACTGTTCCAGGAACGCTTTCTTTCAAAACCTCTGTTAGGTGGCTAAACAAAGGTAGTCATTTTTCTTGCGCCTGGGTGAGTCCGATGAGGGAGAAAGAATACACTTCGTAAACTGAGGCTGTGAGGGTTAGGATTTCTGATCCAGCTGATGGGCTTAAGCCTGCATTCTGATCCCTGCTACATTATCTTCTAATTCATCTCATAGATTGCTCCCGGCACATCTGACATATTTTAATACCGAAATGTAAATCAGACACCCCCACAAACCACCTCCACTCTCTCACATTTCCCTAAATTTGGACTTTACTTTCCTTGCTGTACTTTACTTTCCTGAGCTGTTCTTTTCTATCACATGTCATTTCCCAGGAAAAGTGTTTTTACAGGAAATAAAGAAAACGTCCTCTTGTAAAGCTGCCCAGTTTCAAACCAGTTCGAGGCTCCCTTTGCTGCTCCATCTTTCCCTTAAAGGCGGGGAGGCCTGGAAGTGCAGAGCAGACCCCGGGAAGTATATGATGCTTTGAAGTCCTCTCCAGCCAGCAAGCAGGTCCACTAGCCCGAGTAAGCAGCTAATGAGCTCCAGCATTTCTGCAGCGGCTCTCAGCTCCAGTGCTGTAGCTGGCCCTATTTGCCCACCAGACCCCAACAAATCCTAAGGTCAAGGAAAGTCTGGCAAAACCCACTGCTCTGGCTTGCTTTGGTAATTAGTCACACATGCAAGTAAATGATCATCTGAAATCCATTTCTGCCTGAGAGTTATTAAAACTAGAAACCATGTTTAATTCATCCAGCCAAAGAAACCCCTTGGGAGGTGCCGTGAAGGGGGAATCCAGTTCTCAGAATGGAGCTTCTGTTCCACTTTATTAAATATTTTAAGCAGATTTAAGGTTTAGTCAAAGGACAAATTCCTGCTCTCCAAGGAGCACATGCACAGGAACTTGGAGATCAGCCAGGGCGGTGGCCATGCTGGTGGTCAGAGGGAGGGGGCCCCGTGTGATGTGAAGGGGAGAAGCGGGAGAAGGGGCAGGAGGGAGGAAGGGGGCAGGGAGCTGGGAGAGGTTTGTGAGCAGAAAAGTGGACTGCGCCTCTTGTGTGCTTTATATCCACATTAGAGGAACTGAGGTGAGAGCTCTTGCAAGAGCCTGCGAATGTGTCTCATAAGAGCCAGGGTGGGGCCGTGACTGCATTGCTGCCCTGATTACACATTCAGCAGGAACCAGGCTGTGACCCTAATCACAGGTGAGCTCTGGAACACGCGCTGTCTCCCTGGAGACCCGCACAGTTGAGTGAGCCCAGCAGAGCTGAGCCTCCTGGAGAGCTCGTGAGCACCTTGCTGGCCAGGAGCCTTGGCAAGAGATGGCATGACTGAGCCAGAATCCCAGGGTAGCTGACTTGACCTGAGAAGCCGTCCCTCAGTGCTGTGCTACTTTCTAACTCCTTCTGTAGGAAACTCTTCCTGAAGAAGTTGCATTTAAAGAAAAACCACTCCATGCAGCCATCCCTTCTTGTTGCAAGCAAGGTGAGCCAGAGTGGGCACAGGAGCTTCTGAAAGCTCCATAGAGTCCAGCAGAAAGCTCCTTGCCCTAGCACATGGGAAATGCAGGTCTCATTCTCGCCACCCCATCTCTATTTCAGAGCCCCAACTTCTTTCTCCTCACCTCCCCTCTCCTCTCCCAACCTCTGGCATCCAGCTGTTCAGCAAATTCCCTACACATTTGGACATCAAGATTCACCGGGTGGTCAACCACCCAGCATTGCAGTCCAAGTCCTGGCTCTACTGTTCATTAGCTGGCGACCCTGAAGCACTTACTTCCCGCCCCTGTTCCTAGTGTCCTTATCCATCATTTGGGAATAATAATGGTGCCTACTGCACAGAGTTGTTGAGAGGTTCAAGGCAGGTGACAGATGTAAAGAGAGCCTGGCACTGTTGGCACACAGGCAAGCCTTAGCTGCCGTCGTAGGTACTGCTGGTGGTGGCGGTGGGAGAATTCCCGTCTTCCACCCCACAGTTGGTCTCTCCCTGCCTTAAACCCTTGGCTCTGTCCCAAACCCCGTTTCTAAAGTGTATAGTGCTTTGCTCTTCTTCTTGTCATGTTTATATCAAAAATCACCCATCAGAGAGACAAAAGCAGGGAGGAGTCATTTTATTTCTGAAGTTGTTAATTTTACCCTAGATTTCCAAGAAAAGAATCATCCATCTGTCAGAAAAAGACAGAGAAGATAAAAAATCTTTAAAAGTAATTATTTAAGTGCCAATGAAGAGGAAATGAAAATGCATGTGGCTCAGCTATTGAGTTGAGTTAGACAATGGTGGTGTACCACACTAATCTGCTTCATAGATGAGAAAAAAGGAGAAGACGATCTTAAAAAAACAAACGTGCTGTCAGTTGGCCCCAACAAAACACATTCTATATAAACATATTTAGAGAAGTGACTTTGGATTTGCAAAATTGTAGCTCCTCTTCTGCCAGGGCCGCCTCCGGTCTTAGAGCCACAGAGCCATACACACTGATGTTTCCTGGGTCCTACTACTGTTTGCATTTCTTTCCCTGGTGCTCTGATTAACTGCAGAGGTAGTTTGTTCAGCTGGACCATGAAATGCCACCCCACAGCCAGCCCTTTCCCCGCTTTGCCTCCTTCCCTTCCAAGGCTTTCGTTCACCAGATGGCCATCTGCCAGCTCACGTTCTGAAAGGGGTCACCGTAGGAATTGTGCAAAGACACACATCTTCATGAGAGAATAAAACAATTGGCTTTCTTTTCTGAGCACTGAAACCCAAAGCACTTCTCAAAGTCACCATTCAATCAGAAGCAAACAAGGCATCCCTTTCTCTCCCTAAGGTTAATTGTAAAAGGTGCAAACTTAACCAATTTCTGCACTTGCCATTCAAATCAAGAGATCAGTACTGTCAGTCCTCCAAGCAAATAATTACACGATTAATGTGTTCCAGCACTGCTCCTAAACCCCTCACATTTCCTGAGCCTAATCCTTCAGGCGAGGTCCCTTCTCCTCACTCCTAAGTTTCCCTCTACAGGTCGAAGCGTCACTCACCTCACTCATGTTGGCTCTAACTCAGCAGCTCAGTCCCGCCGCTCAGCACAGAGAACACTGCTCAGCAGTCGCTGCTCCACTGGTTCTGGTTTTTCTCTTAAAAAGAGCTGCCCGGTGGCATCATGCCTCCCTGGAGCCAATGAAATGCATTCACCTGTCTGCAAGCCTGGCTGACATCTGCAGCACCAAGGGCCATCTAGTGGTGTAAAAGAGAATGGCACGTTAGGTCTGCTCCAAATTCCTCCAGGCGCAGCAGGAAATGCTGGCTTTCTTTAAAAGTAATACACTCCAGCCTGGGCGGCACAGTGAGATCCCATGTCTTAAAAAATAAATAAATAAAAGATAAAAGCTAGAGGTTCAAAGATCATCACAGGAATGCCATTGTGCATTTTCTACTGAGTGCAAAATTTACATGCACGAAAAATACCTTTGAAATGTCAGTAGGAAGGATTGTTTTTCTAAGGGAAGGGGGGTTCTGGAAACACCTGCATGCCTGCCCATGTCCCTCCAGGCTTTACCAGGAGCTGTGTTTCCCTTGCCCTTTATGACACAAAACTCAGCCCAAGGAGTTTAACGTCTCTGCTCTCTCTCCCTCATCCCAAATCGGTTGCCCTGCTTGTACCCTGAGCTGGAAGGGCACGAGCAGATGGCCTAGGACATGGAACTGGGTCCCCATGACTTCAACAAGGGAGGAGAGCGGCTCCAGCAGCCTTAGGGATGTGCGCTCCGCACAACCACAGCGGGTCCGGGAAGGAGCCTGGGCGCTGGTCCCGGCCTGGTGAAAGGTCTCCTCGCCTTAGCCCTGTTCAGCCTTTCTGGGAAGATGTTCCATCCTTTGTTCAGTCCCAACACCATGAGGCTCTGAAGTCTTCAGGGCATCAGAGTGGACCCTCAACTGGCACAAAGAGGCGTCGTGTAGACTGAAGGCACATACACGTCTGCCACTCTGCCAGTCCCGGTGCGGGACTTAGCGGGTCTGGTGAGAAGATTCAAGCATCTTGTGACCCGCCCCCAGCGCCCCTCATCTCCCTGTGCAGAGCAGGCCACAAGACACCAGGCTGTCGATCCTTCTCTCCTCAGCTCAGTACCCCCACGCCCTCCACCCTGGACTGTCCTTACACACCCAGGCCAGTGATGCCGCCACCTCCTCAGGTTCACCTAGGACAGCAAGCAGAAGGCCAAAATGGGCACGAGCGAGCACAGGCTACCCTCAGAGGCCTTGGCCAGGAGCGCCGGCCGATCAGCACCCTCACCAATCCCGTGTGAACACAGGGAGCAAGACAGAGTCTCTCCTGTGGCTTCTCGTGGGACCCAATCTCCTTAACTTACAGCCACTTCACATGGGACCTTGTCTATAGACAAGCCCCCTCCAATGGGAAGTTTGGCACATGAGTTTTTATAAAATAAGTTCATGTCCTTTGCAGGGACATGGATGAAGCTGGAAACCATCATTCTCAGCAAACTGACACAGGAACAGAAAACCAAACACCGCATGTTCTCACTCATAAGTGGGTGTTAAACAATGAGAACACATGGACACAGGGAGGGGAACATCACACACTGGGGTCTGTTGGGGGTTTGGGGGGTTAGGGGAGGCACTGCAGGGAGTGGGGGTATTGGGGAGGGATGGCATTAGGAGAAATACCTAATGTAGGTGACGGGGGGATGGAGGCAGCAAACCACCGTGGCACGTGTGTACCTATGTAACAAACCTGCACGTTCTGCACACATACCCCAGAACTTAAAGTGTAATAATAAAAAACTCATATTTCACAAAGCAACAGAAATGAACATTATATATAATATAATATACGTAAATGTGTTGTATTCCTTGACATTTTATATGTGTGTAAACTGTTTATTTGCATATCCTGACCACACAAATCATTTGCAAACTAGTAAAGGCAGCATCCTGCTTCTCCTCTCACTCCCCTTCTCCTCCTTGCACCCAGTGCCATGCTTGGGAAGGCCCACGTGAGGTGCCTTTAGGGTTGCCCAGGTGGTTAGCAGTGGGAAAGGAGGGGAAGGAGGGCAGAGGTGAGGAACCACAGTGTCATCTGGGATGTATGACACATCCACAGACTGGAAGAAGGGGGCTTGCTTATCTACTCTAGGAGACACCTGTGATTTCTCAGGGGCAAAACCACAGCCTCCCCAGGGGACTCCTGCCCTGTTGGGGGCGGGAGCTCCCAGAGCCTGGAGCTGTAGGAGGGGCCTCCCAGTGTCAGCCTCCACGGGGCCCCTGCTGCTGTTCTGCAGGCTGTACAGAGGGGACATGGAGAATCTGCCTGTGCTCTGCTGGCTGGCTCCGGAGCAGACCTGCATTTTCTAACAGTATAAAGACACATCAAGGGCTGCAGCAGCGTGGGCTTGGCGGCACAGCAGTTAGTGCTGAGGTTCCAAGTGAAGGGGCAGGACTGGAGGTGCAGGGCTGGGACGAGGCTTTGCTGGGTAGACTCAGCAGTTCTTTGGGACCAACCAAGGGACTATAAAGGCTACTGGGGAGAGGATGGGTTTGGTCTGAGCTGACTGCCTTCCTCCAAAATTCATACATTTAAGTCCTCACCCTCAATATCTCAAAACGTGACCTTATTTGGAGATAAGGTCTTTAAAGAGGTGATTACATTAAAACAAGGTCACTAGGGTGGGCCGTAATCCAGTAGGACTGGAGTTCTTATAAGAAGAACAGATTAAAGTGCAGGCACACACAGAGGGACATCCCTGTGAGGATATAACGAGAAGACGTATCCACAAGCCAAGGACAGAGGTCTCAGAGAAACCAACCCTGCCGCCCCTTGACCTCATACCTTCAGCCTCCAGAACTGCCAGGGGACACATTTCTGTTGTTTAAGCCAAGCAGTCTTGGTACTTGGTTCTGGTAGCACACGTGGAATTTTCAGGGAACAGACAGAAGTCGCTTAAAGGGGATTTCCTGAAGGTCTGCCTTGTGGCATGCAATTTCATCCTCTTTATGTCCCCAGTATATCTTTAGTAAAATAACTGTCTCCCGTGAATGAGTTGTGGAGCTGTCCCGATACAGAGAACACAAAATAAATGTTCAGCATTGCCACAAAGGGAGAGCCAAGCTGCCCTGGAAGTCGGCACTCGCCAGTGACACAAGACGGGTCTAAGTGTGCAACACACCAGGTCCCAAGTGCAAGAGCGCCAGCTGTCCAGCAGCACCCGGCCTGAACACACATTGTATCCTCTCCCACAGATGGCCCTGGGACCACATCTCCTGGCCCCATTGATCCTCTTGGGACTAGTACTGCAACAAGACCAGTTATCAGACCAAGAACTGCAAAGACTCCCTGGACGTCTTGGCAGCGTGTCCAGGGACAAGGACAGCCGATGAGCGATCTTTCAACCTCCTACTGTGGCTCTGATGAGCAGTCAGGTTTGAGACGCGCCGCCTGATGCAGTGCTTCCCTCCCTTTCCACCTCCTTTTCAGGCTTCTGGGTGGGCTGTGGCTTACTTTTACACATGTATGTCAGTCTCGTGTAAATAGCTGCAATGTGCCCCATCATTCGACTTTTCTCAGGTTAGCCAAACACTCTGTTACATGACAAATGGGGTTCTGAACCAGAAACTTAGAACTTGGATCCTGGACGTGAGAAATCGTTTTCTGCATGACCTTGGCGAAGCTGCTCCATTGCTCAGTGTCTGATTTTCTCCACTGGTCATATAGAATATTAAAGCCTTGCATCTGCCAACCTAAGCAAAACTATATACACGAAATATATTGAGCCAGGAAATAAATTTTGAAGGAACTTCAGAAGAATTAGATCTATAGCTTCATATATTATATCTTGGGGAAAACTTCAGCATGGCTGAATTAAAATACAGACATGTGGTTCTATAATTTATGGAAATACATATATAATAAGCACAATTATTTTCATATTTTTGGGAGCGTGATCCTGCCTGAAGGGGCAGAGTTGGCCCAAGCTGACTTTGAGATTATTTACAGGGACACTATATATTAATGACCCAGGGCTTTTCTTCAGACTTTCACACCAAATGCATCATTTGTGTATAATTTCTGGGAGTGTGGGGACTTTTAAAAAGAACTTACCTTCTGATTCATTTCCTCACCTCTGCAAGAATAGTGCTGTTTTAATCCAGCACAGACAAAGAATGTGCTCACCCTCCTTTGAACGGACACTGCACAGCCTGGCCTTGGTGGCGAGGCCCCCTCTTCCACCTTCACTGCTTCCCAGCCCAACGCCAACTATACAGCCTGGGTGTCTACACAGCCGTCCCAGCCTCAGCATCTCTAGCTTGATGGGTGAGCCCAGGGACTCCTATCTTTGACTCCTCACCTCCTTCCCTGCTGCCCTGAGCTTGAATCTTTCTGCAGACTCTAGCCTGCTGCCAACCACTGGACGTGATGAGGCCCCACGCCAGGAGGCTATACAGGTTCTATCTACGACATGGACGTGCAGCCTAATTCTGGAAACCCCTCCTGGAAGGAAGTGCTTGCTGTAATGTTGCATGAATGTGTGTTTACTCAAACCTTGTCTCCCACCTTCTGGACTTCAAGCCTCTGGAGAGAGGCAGAGGCCAGGCCACACCACCCTGCTTATTTTTTCCTTGCCCACGCCTGGCACAGTGCCCAGCACTGAGTGGGCACCTGAAACCACTTCTGAATAAATAAATACCCTAGCAGTCACTAAGTGTGAATGTTGCTGTAGGAGAGAAAGCTCTTTTGTTCTGGGAAATTAGGTTCTCTTTCCCATGCCAACAGGTAAGGATTTTCTCTTTTGAAAAATGAGGGGGAAAGGGCATTTTTAACATCCGCTGTCAAATTGTAATGTGGCTTTCTAAAATGTTAAAAACTTTTCCCACAAATTACACATGTTTTAAACCTAGATAATTGGGTTTCACTGCCTTTTTGAAGAAAAAATAGTAATTAACGGAAATGTTTGGCTGTGATCTTCCAGGATTTTAGCAAAGAATATTGCACAAACGCCATGCTGCCTCTACTTCTTACCCCACCTCTGCTCCATGCTCCTGGTCACTCTTAATTAGCCAGTCTATATAGTAAATGTGTATGTTTCATTTCTTGAAGTTATGGAAACTTTGGTGTGCTTGACTTGTGTTTCTCTCTCTCTCTCTCTCTCTCTCTCTCTCCTCCCTCTCCCCCCATGTCT